TTTAATTAACCAGTCGGGCCGCGCGGCTAACGCCGGGCTTCCCTCCTTCTTCTGGTGTCGCCCGGCTTCGCCGAGCGCTCCTTCTTCCTGTGAGAAATTTGCTATGCGTAAATAACTCTTCGGATTCTTCTTTTTCTTCGAAAGCTCTACACCCTCAGTATTAGCTCCGAAATGGGAGGGATTTTTTCTGTATTATAATCGGCTATCGCCGGGCTTCCCTCCTTCTTTGACAAAGTTATAGTGATCGGCTAAATCTCCAACCCTTCTTTGAAACAAATAATACTTTCCTGTACACGAAGTTTGACACAGGACTAACAGGGTATTGGTATTCAGTGAGAGTCTGTACTTATGTATTTAATTGATAGCCTCGATCTTTTGCTCTCGCTCCTGAAGATAAATACTCAATAAAGATCGAACTATTAGGTAACCAAAGCCTTGGGCGGTACTTACAAATATTTCGTGTGATGATAACACCATTATCAGATGTTATGAATGACCCTTTCACTTCACATAGATAACATTAGTTAAGATTTCCAAATAACTGGTGGTCGGATAAGTTTTGTGGCAAATGATATCGAACAATGAAGATCCTTCATCAAGTCATAAACCTTGCTGTGTAGCGGTCGTAATCTAAAAGCAAGTTCTAATAAACAAAATTCTAATCTGCTTATCGTGTTGCCCTAATGGGTCCCTATAACCCCACTCCACTCAACTCCTGCACTTACCCCACTCCTTTTGCACCCTACTCTACCATCTCATCTTATCAAATGAAAATACTGAACGTCCAAAGCTGCATTATAAATACCAAAGGGTTGAAAATTTGATCGGTAGGTGGCTCTTGCTCTCTTAGGCCCCTTATCTTCTTTTATCAGTTTTTATCGTTTCTGGCCCCGAGTAGCTTGGGTCCTTCCATATCCTACACCACTTATTAAAAAGTTGAAAAGTCGAGGTTCCACTGTTAATACGGAAAGCTGTAATCTCACCATATTTGAACTCTTCAGGTTTACAGAAACAGACGGTATGAATTTCCGCTCAAATGTTTACTCTGCACAAACCCCTGTGAGCTGAGTCTGGTCCTATTACCTACTATGAGTGTTCCCATCCTAGTCTCCGTACTACTACCGAATTCAAACTCTCGAGGTCCACGTAAACAGGAGTTATGAATTTGCGGTCCAAAATTTCTATCGCGCACGCTCTGCCCCGTGTAGGCGGAGTCTGGTCCTATTACCTGCCATAAGTGTTTCCATGCCGCCTCCTGTACTTCCACCAATTTTGAACGCTTTGGAGCCACTGAAACAGGGGTTATAAATTTGTGACCTAAATTTTCTATCGCGCACGCCCCACCCCCTTAGGACGGAGTCCGGTCCTGCCATCTGCCATAAGCGTTTCCATCCTGCCCCCGTACTCCTCCCAAATTTGAACTCTCTNGGTCCACGGGAACAGGAATTATGAACTTCCGGTCAAACACACACCGACACACACACACCGACACACCAACAGAAACACTTAGCGAATTATATAAAGTAGGATAGTTCTACATTACAATAAGGAGGTCTAATGATAGCATACTCTAATAAATCTGAGCATCAGACGTACACTGGCAGGCAAATCTAATATAATTTCAGGCCTCTAATAAGATTGCTAGTTGTGGTTCACACCTTCAAATATCATGTTCTATTGTTTAAGTTATTTGTGTTTTTGTTTTTTACCATTTTATTATTTATGTAGTTATATAGTTAGTTGGTCTATAGTGGAGTTGACTGTTACTCACTGATGAGCCACGGGAGTCAACTCCCCTTGGTGATTCGTCTGAGTAAACGCGGCGGAACGAAACACCTTTTGTTACTTCTTATAACTCGTGTTGAACAACTAGTAACACTGTTCTCTTTTCTCTGTCCTCTATCGTCAGTGTTTCCATCCAAGGGTCAGGAGTAATGGGTTTTCGCGCAGATATTTATTTCGCACAAATCCTGCCCCCGTGGGCGGAGTACGGTCCTGCCACTCGCGACATGTGTTCCCATTCTGTCGCCTGTGCTCCTACCAAATTTGAACGTCCTCGGTCCACGGGGACAGGAGTTATGAATTTCCGTACAAACAGACAGACAGATGGACAGACAGACGCGAACCCTTTATATAAAGTAAGGAGGAGTAACTACTTCAACACCTGGTAACCGTCCGTACTAATAAGTTCAGCAACCTCCAGCTCATTCAGCCTTGCGAGCTTCGAACTAAAAGCCCTATTACGACCCTCCTTACTTCCTACTTCACGTAAGTTGCTAAGTGTGTCTGTCTGTTGCTTTGTAGCTGTGCTTGGATGCATGTGTGTCGGTGTGTGTGTGTGTGTGTGTATTCAAAAGAAAATTCGTACTCCTCCCCCCTGGAACTGTAATGGAGATATTTAACAAGTAATTCCCCAGAAGAGGTCAGCCTGATCGTTACAATAGCTCCACTCCACACCCGGAGGTATTCACCGCCAATAGCTCCGTGGTCAGAAATGAATCATTTCCAGACAACTTAACTTGCAACCGATCTCTTAATCGGTCTAGGTATGACAGCGAATTCTCGGCGTTTGCGGTGCAACCCTGATCTTGTTCCAGACCACAAAGCAGAGGAAAGATAACCCTCTATCTTCGTCCCGGCCACTCCAGTAATGCCGTACTTGATTAACCTGACCTGCATCCTCATATCTTCAACATTCGCTTCCAATGCAAGTGTAGCATAGTAGAAATACAGATTGCTATCTCACAGTTATTCCTTCCTGACTGAGGCAGACCGTCGTATTACTTTTGGGCAGTCTTTTCATTTCGCCATGATACTTCGGATGAACGAGCAGCTTTTGACCTGGATAACTCTTATACACTTCAGCTATTCGGATAAAAGCTGTATGTGTTTAACTCCTGTTTCGTGGACCTAGCGAGTCTAAATTTTGTAGGAGTACGGGAAGCAGGATGTGATCACTCATGGCAGGTATCAGGACCGGACTCCACCTACAGGGGGCGGGGCGTGCGCGATAAAAACTTTGGGACGGAAATCCATAACCCCTATTTACGTGGACCTAAAGCGTTGAACTTTGGTAGGAGAACAGGAGGCAGGATGGGAACACATATGATGAGTGGCAAGACCAGAGGCGGAGAATAGGAACACTTATGGCAGGAGGCAGGACCAAACTTCGCCCGCACGGCGTGCGCGAATCAAATGGTTGAGCGGGAATTTATAACTCCCGTACTCGTGAACCTGAAGAGGATTGGTAGGGTTTCAGCTTTCCCTATTAAAAGAGAGAACGTCGACATTTGAACAATTGGAAGTGAATTGGTTTCAGTTGATGAAAGTCTTGGGCTTCGTTTTCTAAACTTCATAGCTCTCTCTTCACGCACTTAAAAGCAGAATCTAGCGCGGAGGACCCGACACCGTGTAAAACTTCGGAACAACAGCGACATCAGCCAGTCAAAACCTCTGTTCAAATATGATGCGGTCTATTTCACTAGGATCTGTCCACCGGGTGACTCCCATGCCCATGGCGAATGAGAAGGCTTTTGGTACTGTGAGTTACCATGGGTGGAGTGAATCGGCATGATAAACTCGGACAGTTTTTCACCCTGCTGATTCCATTCCATACATGAGTCCCGATGTGGAGCTTTTCAGCCGTTCTACTGGGGCCGACTTTGGCGTTGAAGTCACCGGCGATGCCCTTTAGGGAGGTGTGGTCTTCCCTGTAGAGCCTTTTCCCATATAGAAGGCTTCCGACTCCAGTTCTTCGTAGTTTGATGTTGGTGCGTAAGCAAAGAAGATGGTTAGAACTGGGGTTGATCCACATCTCCCTAATCGCGAACGTCCGATTTGGGTTGTTAAGCTTCCGTACGAGTCGATGTTCACGGCCAAGTACGTATAGACGAGGACACCTACGCCTCTGCCCTCTGCTGTTGCAAGTTCCGAGGAAAGATCTTCTCCAGTCTCAAATACACATGCAGCGGACAATGCCTTCTCGTCTTGGTCAGTCCGATGACGTCGTACTCGAACATCCTAGCTTGTACCAGGTCTTCTATACACGCTTCCGATGCAAGCGTCAGTGCGTTGAAAGTACAGATCGCTAGCTTAGTCACTCTCCTATTAGGCAGCTTGTTTTGGCCCTGAAGTTTTGGCAGCCTCTCCCGAGGAGCTCTACCCAACCATGCCATATTGGGAGTTTCCTTGGTTCCAGGGGAATGAGAACCATTCATATTAATAATTTTTGCAACTGAGTACCCGATGTGCAATTCGCCAGGCTCTAACGTGGGGGCTGGATTGACTCCGGAAGCTAGCCAAGCAATTTCGTAGTGGACGAGGGGCTTTGCTTTGGAGACGGCCACGAATCGCCTCCCACATACTTTCCGTCACTCGAATGCAAGCTTTTGTCTGAATCGATGGGCGAAATGCCAATTGCACCCGCAGAGTTTCCACACACGTATGCGTGGATACACCTGCGAGAAAAGGAGGGTATATCGACCAGCACACCAGAATCAAGGAGTCCATCCCCTGAACCCTTCTGCGTCTCCGGGCCAGTACTGGCGACTTTTGATCGGCGTTATTCCCCTATCCGTCAACAGGGGACACTATACCTATATGTCGCTAAACGGCTGGAATCCTTCAATGAGAGAGAACCCTCGGTGAAGGAGCTACAGATAAACTTTGAAAAATGAGAAAAGAGGGATCGTGGGCAAGAAATAAGTGGTTGTTCCAGCCAAGATAGCCATGCTCCTGAGGCCAGGTAAAAGAAACGTTGCATGTTATAACCATCCTTTTTGTTATAATACAATGGCAGATGTATCTACTCGCTCTACTTCTCGTTACCTCTGGAATCTGTAAGGCTGAGCTGTCAAACCATATCCTTCGCGCAAGCTTGGCTACCTTTATTGAAGGACATATGAGAGGAGAATTGCTAGAATTATAACCACAAGTTAGGTTTTCGGAAACATGTTTTCATCGAGGTGTACATTTACTGCAAAATTTGTTCTAATGACGGTTCAATTATATAACTCGTATTCTTCATGATAAGTACGCCATTCCCCATCCTCTCTCTTCCAAATATGAACCATTTTCCCTTTGAAGAACTTAGATCCCCCCTTTTCCCTGAAGATTTCGAAGTCGAATTCAGCAATCTTGTAGTCTCTGGAGCCTTCATTAACCTCATTGCGTAGCTGAAATAGAAGAAGTTGTAAGTCATAGATTGACCTCTCATTCTATGTTTGGGAGGGAATGATATTAAAATGCCAAAAGACCCCGGAGAAAGATTACCTTATATAGAAGAAGGCATTCTGGCAGACCAAAATGCATAGAGCGCAAGTTTCGTATTATACTGGATACCGTTTCCTTGCGTCTGTGGTTCAGTAGTCATAGTAGAGAATAACACTTTATTGCGAATGCGAAGAATAGGAGCAAGTGAGTATAAAGCACCGTCAATCGTTCGACTTACGCATATATTTCAATGTCTATGTTTCTACATTCCTTTCCCCGATCTAAGAGAAAACCCTTTTTTCTACGATAAGCGATCTTGTTTTTCTACGTAAATGCGGGAATTCTTCCTAAGGATCGCGAAGCAACCGCGATACTCCCCAGGCCTAAACGATTCGAAACAATTTTTGGTGGCGGCTACGCCAGATCACGGAGCAAGCTGTGCAGCTCCTCTTACAGTTTGTCGATGTCTCGTAGTGCCGCTTGTCGTTCTTCCAGTGCTGCATTGATAGATCTTCGGATTTCGTTGCTTTTTTTCTGGAAAATCACATATGGCGCTATGATGACCGAGTTGTTTACAGAGTAAGTGCCGGGCCCTTGCTATGTAATTACAAATTGTATATAAAGTTTATTAGCATGTAGGATGGAGCTGAGAATAGAATCGGAGTTGGGTATAGAATATGAAGCGAAGGTATCGGAGACGTGGATATGCTACGGAGTAAGACAGTCTTCGGGCACTCGGGCAGTAGCTGCAGCTGCGGCTTCTCAGCGATCCTGCGCGTTCCTCAATGACCATGCGCTGTTGCCCTTTCCGCCGTCCGTGTTATCATCGTCTCACATCTCGAGCCGGCAAGCCTGGATATCACAACATGTTGCTGCCAGCCTACCGTACTCTTTACTCCCTTTACAACAGTGAAAGCAAGGCAACCTAGCCTTTCGACATCGATGAAAAGGAAATTTCATTTCCAAGCAACCCTGGCACCGACCGTTGACCTGGAGTATGCGTTTTCTTTCATTAATTTCTTTGAAGCTGGTGCATACGTCTGAATAGTGATGACCTACGCATTCGCAGAAAATGCAGCGTATTCCCTTTTCTTCTTCACGGCGAATGACCCCACCTGTGAAAATTTCTCGGATAACATTCAGGCTCCTAATTAAGATCCGTTACTAAATCTTCCAAATCTTCAACTTCTGCGTACTTTCGCTGAATTTCTCTCTTAATCGCGTATCTCCGCTGCCACTGCGCTCTTCTCACACTTTGGTCATTTCACCTCTACATTATTCCCAATCTCGTCGTTGCGCCTTATAATGTTTACTTCTTCATCGTCAACCTCTTCCACCTTTTCCATGAACTCACCGTTGCGCTTTATGATTTTCGCTTCTTCTTCTCTTGCTCTGCGCATTTCATCGTCATTCTTGGGATTCGGCCTTTGATCGAGCATCTCGATGCCTTCGCCCCCGTCACTCACGTGCGATTCGGAGTCGCTAATGTTCCTGTTCGTTGTGTTCGAAGATCCCTTGACTCGTAAAGTTCATTAATGGTCATTTTTTGTCGTATTTCTACGAGTATTGATCGGTATTCTTCTAGAATTTCAAACTGATCCTTGATTGCTCTTTCAATTTCGTCGTGTTTAAGGAGCAGCGTTTCTCCTCTGTCGTCCCATTGTGGTTCTTGAATCATTAAATTCCACTCCTCTTCGGATATCATACCAGATGCTTGGAGGAGAGGGATTACAGCGAAAAGTGTGGGGATTTCAGATCGTAGTAGCGCGAATACCGTGTGTATTTTCTCCCATAGGGTTCCATAGCATGCAACTGGATTGATCTATTCCTGAGGTCTTCATGAGAATGCTGCAGAGCCTTGATGCGCTCGAACAGGTCAGTCATCGAACGTGTCGCGATACGTAGCTGGATGCTTATTGTGTAGAATTTTGTTGTAAAGCGTCACATCGTCTGGAAAGGGTGGAATGGCTTCAAAAATCCGGCGTAAACGAGGAAGTTCTTTAAGCGTGTTCATTCCTGGGAAAATTATTCTTGCTCTATTATGATGAATATCTACTTCGAAGGGGTGAGAATGTCTTTTATTGTTTCTTGCGTTTTTTGTGATAATTTCAAATGTGTTTTGTGTGGATTGTCGTTGAAAGCGATTGTACGCGTCTTCAGCATAGAACAGTTTCTTGCAGAGAAAAAACAGGATGCATGGGGGTAAGAGAATTAGTGTAAGGATGAAGCGTAGGAGTAGGCGTGCTATATGTATACCCGCGGCTTGAATGCAGATATAGAGGGCGAACAGAATCAGTAGCGAAGAAATAAATGTTTTATACCGATTCAGGACTATATCCGCGATGTGGAATATATCTGGCCATTGAAACCCATTGTAAGGTACACTTTTACCTTGTAGAGTGTTTCTAACGTTTGCGTGAAGATTACCCACATACTGAAGAATACTCGTGAGCAGAAAGTGCTTCTTCGTTTTTCCGCACTGGATGGAACAATTCAACACTTGTCGGGCGTTTTCAAGGTGGAATCGTATAGGTGTTTCGGGNGAGTGTGGTGTACATGGGATTACGAATTCCTTTTCTTCACAAATAATCTCAATAATTTTCTGTGTGAGAGGAGCAACGATCTTTTGCTTCTGCTCCCTTTACGCAGTTGTAACGGCCTTCTAACGCGCTATTTTCTACTGAGCAGGATTCATTGGTTCCTATCGTTGTGGTGTTACTGCTATTCATGAATTCCGCCGTCACCATGTGGGGGATCTTAGCCAAAATCGTTCAGTCTTCTTGCCTGCGGTATTCAACTGCGGGGGTTTTTACTGGGAGTTTCAATTCTATTCTGTTAACTTCGTTTTCTATGTCATTGGTCGGGTATTGACAAGAGACTTAACTTTTAGGACTCTGCTGGGGAACAAATACAGTTGTCTTGGATCGTGCAGTTGTTGGCTTTCGCATGCATCCATGACTCACACCTTAAGTCGGGACTAAAATTGTTTGCCCATATGGCGGTTTCAGTTTTCGAGCTAATGAAGTGCGTGTTTAGGTAGGGTGTGGGTGGTAAGGTTATGGAACTCATGGTCACCTGGATCGAGGGAAACTGTGCCGGTATGTTTGGGAGAATTGTGGAAACGAATCGACTGCGACCTGATTGGTGTTCTTCTATTACGAGCTCAAGTTTTACCCTTTCGGTCCAACGCGCGCAGCGAAAGAATTCGAATATTCTGTCGTTTTTTGGTTCTGCGTAGATGCGGTAGAATAAGGTGCCCGAACTTAGCCAAAAGCACCCACACCAGGGGCCACCACAGGATTCAATGCAGCCCGTGCGGCCAGTTTAATTGTTTGCTGGCTCTAATTCTTTCAAAAGACTCGATGCATTCACATTGGCGCATTTTTTCCTACACATGATCCTTCATGCGCGCAGCTCTTGCTGTCTATTACCTTAAGTTTAGTAGGGCGAGTGAAGAACATGGTTTCTTTTTCACAGTTGAGGTACAGCCCTTTCCAGCGTATTTTAATATTAGCAATCAACGAGGAGTTTCTTGTAAGGCGGAGACAAGCTTCTTGGTGGAATGTGTTAATTTTTAGGAGTTCTTTAATAACAACGCTGCAGTTTTCCTTGTTTTTTGTTTGTGTACAGATCGTGGAGTGGTATTCAAGGATATCAACTTGTTGGCATGCAAAGGCGTTTTGTTACATTAAACATGTTGCAAGAGATATGATTGCTAATGCCAGGGTGATGCGCTCGCTTCTTGGTCGTACGTTACGCAAAGGGAAGCGTGAAAAGCGCGTGAAACATTTTTGCAACAGGTAAAATCCCAGGCGCATGATTACTAAAGTTCCACGTAGAATTGATTGATTCGGATTGGTTTTCCAATAGTCATGGGAACGTAGAGTAAGATATAGAGTGTGGCTGTAAGACCAAACAAGAGAATAATCAAAAGGAGAATTGCGTTGACTGGCCAACATTCCGGATTGAAAAGAATTGTCACGCAAAAATTGCGGTCAATGTTGTCGCAAAATTTTTCCCCACGGCATGTTGTCTCTATTACGGATGTGCGATCGTCAAATTGCCTTTTCAAGGAAACCGCATGGTCATGAAGGGTTACTTCAGGTGGAAATTCTATCTCATACACCTTTGACGAGGTGCATGTAGTCACAGTGAGTTTCGGCGCAAACTTCAACTGTGGTGTTGGCTAGTGTAAGGATTTGTTCTCCATTGTCCGTGCAAGACATAATCGTTTTTGTAGAGGACGTGCCCGTGGAAAGTGATAGGGTCATAATGTAGAAGAGAAACCATTTCCTAGATAAAACGTGCGCTTTCCTGACGATATTACCGCATGTTTCCTGGTCATTTCGCCGTGTACTGGAGCGTGGGCGTAAATTGTACGGATGGTTTTTGCTACCACCTCTGCTAATCATGTCAGGAACTTTCTTTACACAAGTAGAAGACTTCATTTTTGTCGTGCATTCACGGCGTGGTGTCTCAACCTATTGTCAAGGTAATTT